TAGTCGACTAGCACACATACGCTGATCACGAACCACTCAATCACACATGGGTTCCTGTTCCAGAGCGAACATGAGTGAAAAAAGACCTTCGTTACTGCTGCCTTATATGTCAGCCATGCAGTAAAAGAGTCAGAGCATAGAATACAAACAATGAATGTGTATGAGTGCAATGGTAAAAATATTTTCATGAGGTGAAAGATGGAATTTTTCATTGCACGAGGCGATACCCGCCTTTTTGCTTGGCACGAATGATATAATTTATATTATTTGAATTTAATTCCATCGGTCTCACTGAGCTACGATCACGATACGAATAAGATTTCGATTGAATTGATTAATTTTATTATATTCATTTTGAAATCAGTGGTGTTTCCTGCAATGTGATTTCACTGCGATTCGTGCTGAAATCGCACTCCTGTGAACCAATCACATTAGAGTGCTGACTTCAGCCAACCAATCATATTTAATCATAGGATTCAAACAGCCAATCAATTTTAAGAAAAATGTGATATGGCAAATGAGCAAAAACAAAAAATTTACATATGTCATGATTACTCTTGACTGCCTAGTAAGCATTTTTTTTCACATAAAAACAAAAAAAAATGGATAGCTACAGTTAACGATCAAATAATTGCAAAGAATTTCCATTTTTTTTGAAATTTCACAAATAGTAACAGGCAAATTAAGAACATATTTTATAATCTTCTATCAAACATGGTCAAAATGCCAACAAAAGCAAATTTAAAGCGTCGGGCAAAAAAAAACAAGGTAAATTCGCCTGTCGTATTTCGAATTTTAAACACACAAAACTGCACCAAAACTATATCAAATCACTCGTAAAACCTATAATATGTTTAAACTTACTTGTGTTGTCTCTTAGTCTTTATGAATGTCTTCATTTCTTTACTGTAACATTTTTGCAGTATTTTGAACGCATATTAAAAAATGCAATTTAACAAAACTAAAAGTTCGCCTTGTTCTTTTATTGTTGCTATGCTACAGCACTCAGGGAATACCGGAGACATGTCTTTTGCAAACAAAAACGTTTCCGGTTTACAAAAATGTTTAAGATTTCAAAATGAATATAATAAATTGGAAATTGAACTTCATGTCGTGCAATTTTGTACTGAAATCAAACTTGTGATTACAAATCGCACTCCCGCTTCGCGATCGTGCGATTTTGTAATCACAAGTTTGATTTCAGTCCAAATTGCACTCCACTCAATTCAATTACCATTATAAATTAAACCCCACCGTGTCACAGTGCTTGTGCTATTGCGCGGCAAAATGGTAATTTTAATTCCCGATCAGGTGATCATAATCAGGCAATTACGTATGACCAGATCTAGATTTTAATGAGGTGTTATATGTTCACAAAAATAATTATGTTCCCATATACCTCGATATCAATAGGATTCTCATCTTTTGCAAATGATTTCATCGCATCAAGAATGGGACGGAAACCTATACATACAATTATTTGATAAGGATATGAATATTTCAAGTCATATTGGGTGAATATTCGATGGATTGGAATATTTAACAACACGCCTGCTCAGGGACTCACGCCAGCTGTTGGACCTGTGAAATTGATATTTTTATTACAGCTCAAATACAGTATCACCAAGCGTAATCGATACTTGGGAGGTTCACATTTTACTGCGAGAACGAATACGACGAGATTCGTTTGTTTTCACATGCTCGCCATCATCTTATGCCACTACGTACACACGCCATAATCTGGTAGTACGTGCTTGTTATACTACTAGGCTTTTCAAAAATCGCGTTGTCAATTTGGCCATGGTTATGAGATGTATTATCACTATTAATTTATTAAATTTATTTAGACACACGGTGGCCTTTCGGTTGGTTTTCAAACTGCCGTGCGGTTTATTTTTTAAACTATTTACCACAATTGTTTAATTAAAAATATACAATACAGTAACTTTGCTATATACATTATATAATTAGTACTGTATAAATCGATATAATTATAGCAATAATATAGTTTAGGTATATGGTGCATTTTCAGTGTCAATATTCACTAATCTGAATTGTTTGGAAAGATATCATTCGGCATATGAAATTAGCTATCAGGTTGATAACATGCATTTTCGTATAGACTTTGTCATTCGGCAACAGACTTTGTTATTCGGCAATATATTTTTCGCAAGCATCCCAGCAGTCTTTGCCCGATTAGTTTAAATTGTAAACACACGTGAGACGTACGTGTGCACGTGCACCACAAACACCAAGATGGCGGAGAGACAAGGTGAAAATACAGAGCAGGATACTAAAATTATTCTTCAACAGTGTGCCCAAAACGAAAGCCCGGCGCACACTGAAGCTATCAGCTGAGCTGAGCGTCACTTGCGGTTAAGCCTAGTTCTCATTCATCGCAAACTGTCGGCGACGGGAGCTTTGCGACGTCGACGACGGCTTGCGATTTATGAGAACGCATCAAAAATTATATCGCCGATTGTCCGTAATCGTCGCCGACCAT